CTTGCCACCCGCTCTTTCCCGGGGCTCGAACCCCGCCGCCCCCACCAGCCCCAGCCCAGCCAGCCCCAGGCTCACGGGGCTCCTCGGCACCAGCAGCCGCGGCCGCGGGAGGCGCCGAATAGCGCCAGGAGTTTCCCATTCCGCCTTTCACAATGAAATCCAGCCCCGAGGACCAAGGTCCGAAGTTTGGCGGCCTCAGGAGGCCGGCAAGGACCCCAAGGCCCCCGCTCGGCCGTGGGGAAGCGCCCAGTCCCGCCCGGCCAGTCCCCTCCGGGAAAGCAGACGCGAGGCCTATACGGCTCGGCTTAGGCCGCAAAACTAGGGACCCAGCGGACCCACGCGCAGCGGCGGCTCCCGGGAACAAAACGCCCTTGCCCAGCCGAGCCTCGGACCCGGGGTAGTCCCCGCCGCACTGCCGCCCCTCCCCTGTTCCGCTCCCTCACCCCCGCGGGATGGGAAAACAAGCCGCCCTCCACCCCGAGCCCCACGCCAGGAAGCGGCTGACGCGGCTCCGCACTTCACATTTTGTTCCTTCAACTTCGGCTGAGGGACCCCAGCTGCTTCTCTGGCCCCCGGCCGCTTGGCGCCTCCGGCACCGCCAAGGCCTTTCCGGCACCCCCGGGCGGCCCCACCGGGCCTCGGACCCGCGGCCCCCCCTCCGGTCTCCTCTTCCGTCCCCTCCCTCCAGCAGCCTAGGGCGGGAGCCGAGCCACCGCCGCCTTTACCTCCTCCTCATGCGGGCGGAAGGTGCATCGAGCGCCCGGGCCTCTGTCAGGTGGTTGCGCCGCCGCCCCTCGTCGGGCTGCACACAAAGCGGCTCCGCGGGTCCCGCCGCCGCCGCCGCCCGCCCGCCCGGGAGCGGCGCTGGGGCTGGCGGTGCCGAGGAGGAGCAGCCGCTGCGGGGGGAGACTCGGGGCGAGTGAGCTCTGGGAGGGGAGACAGTGCCGCTCTCCGTCTGGCCGAGGAAGAGCAGCCTCGAAGGCTCCTCCGGGAACGTGTGCGCGTGTGTCCGCCCGGGACCCCCGTAGCCCGCCCGCACCTCGCGCGGGCCCGGACCGCCGACTCGGACCCGGACGCCCCTCGCAGCGGCGCGCGCCCGGCCGTCCGTGCCCCGGGTGCCGGCCCTCGCGCACACACCGGCCGGTCACGCGAGCGGCGCGAGAGCACGCGAGAGCAGCGCGCGCTCCTCGCTCCCTCCCCTTCCTCCGCCGGCCGTGCATCCGCCTCCCTCGGGCCCGAGGCGGCCGCGCGCAGGGCGGACAGCGCCGCCACCCGGTTGGCGCCAATACCTGCCGCGCGGGGCGCCTCCGGGAGGACCCGACCGGAGAGGGCGAGAGGAGGAGGAGCCCGGGTGGCGGGAAGCGAGCCCAGGTTCCCGCGGTCCTGCGAGGGCACGCGGGGCAAACAGCGCTTTATTTTTCGCAGCGGCGATGAGCTGGTGACTTTGGGGGGTCATCCTGAGGGACATAGACGGAACTGGTTGGGAGTAGTTAATTGCTCGGTGAAAATGAACTGATTTCCTCCTCAGGGAGAGATCTGCAAAGTCAAGGAAAGTTGTGCAACGGGGCACAGCGTGAGCTGCTCACTCTCGGGTCTTCTGACAGCCACCCGAGTTGCCCAGCGTCCTTAGATTTCTGAAGTTAATATTTTGAAAGCTGCAAAACATGAAAATAGCATTGGGTCGAGTCGTTCTCAAGGTATGATCTTTGGGCCACCAGGCCTCACAATCGCTTTGGGTACTGGCTGAAAACATAGGTTTCCAACTCCAAACATAAAAAAGCGAGGATCTCTGAGAGTGGAACCCAGAAATAAGCATTTATTAATTAGGTAGGTGATTCTTGTCAAAAAGGAAGAACTCATTTTTTTAAAATGTTTTAAACCTACCAAGCATTAACGTTTTCTGTCATCCAAAGGAAAAAACTATCAGGTAAAAAAAGTGCACGCAGCAGTGTTTGAGCATTTTGATGTTTGTGAAATAAATGAACGCAAGAGCATACACTTACCTATTTTAAAAAAAATCAAGAGCATACACAAAATTTCCGAAGAGGAAGTTGAAAAAAGGATACAATAATATGAAATCGCATTCAGCTCTTGAAACTGACCACTACCATAGTTTAAAATGATATTCGTTTGTTTATTCAAATTATTCTTGATGGATATCCATTGGTCTATTTTTTTCCCACATCCTTTAACGTCAACTTAAAAATAGTAAAGGTACTGCAGCTCACTGACTTGTTTTTGACGTATTACACAAGAGAGCAGTCATTGCGAATCTGACACTCCAGTTGCTGATTTGCTAGAACTGTGCCCAAAAGTCAGTGGTTTGTTCTTGGGCATTTACAGTACCAGGCAGAATCCATTTAAAATTGTCTTCATTCAAACTATTAAGTGGACCAAAAGCTGCTCTCTTTTTAGGCTCTCCCTGTCACTTTTGATATTTCTTTTTTTTTTTTTTTTTTGAGACGGAGTCTTGCTCTGTCGCCCAGGCTGGAGTGCAGTGGTGCGATCTTGGCTCACTGCAAGCTCTGCCTTCCGGGTTCACACCATTCTCCTGCCTTAGCCTCCCGAGTAGCTGGGACTACAGGCGCCCACCACCACGCCAAGCTAATTTTATCTTTTTGTATTTTTAGTAGAGACAGGTTTTCACTGTGTTAGCCAGAATGGTCTCGATCTTTTGACCTCATGATCCGCCCACCTCAGCCTCCCAAAGTGCTGGGATTACAGGCATGAGCCACTGCGCCCGGCCAACTTTTGATATTTTTTTCTGTGTTACATTTAATTAAACAGCAATGATTTTATCTTTCATTCTCCTCAGTAGCTTGCCCATTATTCAATGGAGTTTTGTATATGTACATACATTTTATTTTTTTTATTATTTTATTATTTTTTGAGACGAAGTCTCACTCTGTCGCCCAGGCTCCATTACAGTGGCATGGTCTCAGCTCACTACAGCATCTGCCTCCCAGGTTCAAGCGATTCTTGTGACTCAAGCCCACAAGTAGCTGGGACTACGGGTGTGTGCCACCATACCAGGCTAATTTTTATTTTATTTTACTTTATTTTTGAGACAGAGTCTCCCTCTGTCGCCCAGGCTGGAGTGTGGTGGTGTGATCCTGGCTCATTACAACCTCTGCCTTCTGGGTTCAAGCAATTCTCCTGCCTCACCCTCCCAAGTAGCTGAGATTACAGGTGCCCGGCACTATGCCTGGATAATTTTTGTATTTTTAGTAGACACAGGGTTTCACTACGTTGGTCAGGCTGGTCTCAAACTCCTGACCTCAGGTAATCTGCCCGCCTCAGCCTCCCAAAGTGCTGGGATTACAGGCGTGAGCCACCGTGCTTGGCCTTACTGGTTGATTTTGTATCTTTTCTTCTTTTTTTGACATGGAGTCTCACTCTATCACCAGATTTGAGTGCAGTAGTGTGATCTTGGTTCACTGCACCTCTCTGCCTCCCAGGTTCGAGAGAATCATCTGCTTCAGCCTCCCAAGTAGCTGGGACTACAGGCACACACCACCACGCCCAGCTTATTTTTATATTTTTAGTAGAGATGGGGTTTCACCATACTGGCCAGGCTGATCTCGAACTCCTGACCTCATGATCCAGCCGCCTCGGCCTCTCAAAGTGCTGGGATTACAGGTGTGAGCCCCTGTGCCTGGCCTATTTTATTTTTTTGAGACGAAGTCTTGCTCTGTTACCCAGGCTGTAGTGCAGTGGTGCAGTCTGGGCGCACTGCAACCTATGCCTCCTGGGTTCAAGCAAATCTCCTGCCCCAGCCTCCCAAGTATCTGGGACTACAGGCATGCGCCACCACGCCCAGCTAATTTTTGTATTTTTAGTAGAGATGGGGTTTTACCATGTTGGCCAGACTGGTCTCCAACTCTTGACCCTAGGTGATCCACCCGCCTTGGGCTCCCAAAGTGCTGGAATTACAGGCATGAGCCACTGCACCCAACCTCCACCAAGCTTTTCTTCCCCACTCAGTGCCCAAAACAATGCCTTATATTGTAGGCCTCTTTAAATAATTGTTTCACAAATGAAGGCCTGCCCTCCTGGTGGACCTTAATTTGTTTGGGGAGAAATAGACCAAAATAACAATAATACATGTATATGAAAATGAAGTAGGGAAGAGCTGGGCACGGTGACTCGCACCTGTGATCCCAGCACTTTGGGAGGGGGAGGCAGGCAGACTATTTGAGGTCATGAGTTTCAGACCAGCCTGGCCAACATGGTGAAACCCCATCTCTATTAAAAACACAAAAAAATTAGACTCAGTGGCTCAGATGCAGTGGCTCAGGACTGTAATCCCAGCACTTTGGGAAGCCGAGGCGGGTGGATCACCTGAGGTCAGGAGTTCTAGACCAGCCTGACCAACACGGTGAAACCCTGTCTCTACTAAAAATACAAAAATTAGCCAGGCACGCTGGCACATATCTGTAATCCCAGCTACTAGGGAGGCTGAGGCAGGAGAATCGCTTGAACCGGGGAGATGGAGGTTGCAGTGAGCTGAGAAAGCACCACTGCACTCCAGCCTGGGTGACAGAGTGAGACTCCCGGGAGTGAGAGAGAGTACAGATCACACATAGCCTTTTAGACTTCTGGTAGAACTGTGGCTATCCTCTGATTGAGATGGGAAGCTAATGGACTGTTTTAAGCAAAGAGGTGATCTGATGTGTGTCCTGAGTTAGGCAGTGTTGGACAAACCACTTAATCCTTCTGTCCCTCATTTTCTTCATCTGTAAAACAAGGATAATAATAGTATCTTCCTCAGATGATTATAATGAGGAATAAATATGTTAATTTATTTTTTTTCTGTCGCCCAGGCTGGAGTGCAGTGCTGTAATCTTGGCTCATCGCAACCTCTACCTCCCAGGTTCAAGAGATTCTCTTGCCTTAGCTTCCCTAGTAGCTGGGATTACAGGCGCGCACCACTATGCCCAGCTATTTTTTGTCTTTTTAGTGGAGATGGGATTTCACCAGGTTGGCCAGGCTGCTCTCGAACTCCTGACTTCAGGTGATCTGCCCACCTTGGCCTCCCAAAGTGCTACGATTACAGGTGTGAGCCACTGCGCCTGGCCATAAGTTAATGTTTGCAAAGTGCCTAGAATAGTAACTCGCATATGCTAAGCTCTACATAATTTTTTTTCATAAAATGAAAAGAAAATCATTATAGCTGCTGGGTTGAAAATAGCAGTAGATATGCAAATGTGGAAGAAGGGTAGCCCGGTAGGTGTAAGACAACTATAAAAATCCCAAGGAAAAATGGTAACAAGAACCATTTCTTAGAATGATAGCTAATAGAGGTAATGGCAGTAGAGGTGGTGAAAAGGGGCAGAAGAAGAAAAAAAGAGACAAGAAATCAGGGATGACAGCAGGTGCCATGTCCAGCCGCAAAGGTGGCAAGAAGAAGCCCCTGAAACAGCCCAAGAAGCAGGCCAAGGAGATGCACAAGGAAGAGAAGACTTTCAAGCAGAAACAAAAAGAGGAGCAAAAGAAACTCGAGGAGCTAAAAGCGAAGGTGGCAGGGAAGGGGCCCCTGGCCACAGGTGGAATTAAGAAATCTGGCAAAAAGTAAGCTGTTCCTTGTGCCTGAGGAAATGATGACCCTTTATTTCATCAGTATTTAAACATCAGTATTCCCTGCCATAACATCTTTTGCCACCGATAGCTGGAATTAAGTGTTGTTTTGGAGCTGTTGTACATTTAAGAATAAACTTCTGTTAAAAAAAAAAAAAAGAAGAAGAAGAAAAGAAAGAAATCAAAGATGACTCTTAAAAGTTTTCAGCCTGAGTAACTAGAACCACTATCAAGATAATGAGGACTGTGCTTGGATCAGATCAGATTTAGGGCCTAAAAGATATCCATGCTATCATAAAAGTTAATTAAACAGTCACTGAGCTCCTATACTGGGTAAGGCATTTAACTAGGCACTGAGAGAATATGTTAAAAACAAAATCCGGCTGGGCATGCTGGCTCACACCTGTAATTCCAGCACTTTGGGAGGCTGAGAATGGATCACAAGGTCAGGAGTTCAAGACCAGCCTGCCCGACATGGTGAAATCCTGTCTCTACTAAAAATACAAAAAATTAGCTGGTCATGGTGGTGGGCGCCTGTAATCCCAGCTACTCGGGAGGCTGAGGCAGGAGAATTTCTTGAACCCAGGAGGCAGAGGTTGCAGTAAGCCAAGATCACACCACTGCACTCCAGCCTGGGTGACAGAGTGAGACTCCATCTCAGAAAAAAAAACCATGACAAAGTCCCTATGCTTTACAGGATCACAGTCTATTGGAGGAACTGGAGACATACATCTAATCCCAATTTGAGACAAGCCTGCGATATGTTTTTGTTTTGGGTTTTGGTTTTGATTTTGTTTTCTGTTTGAGAGGGAGTCTCACTCTGTTGCCCAGACTGGAGTACAGTGGTGCAATCTTGGCTCACTGAAACTTCCACCTTGCAGGTTCAAGCCATTCTCCTGCCTCAGCCTCCTGAGTAGCTGGGATCACAGGCATGCACCACCAAAACCAGCTGATTTTTGTATTTTTAATAGGGATGACAGGATTTCATTATTTTGGCCAGGCTAGTCTCAAACTCCTGACCTCAAGTGATCTGCCTGCTTCAACCTCCCAAAGTGCTGGGATTACAGGCACGAGCCACCGCGCCTGGCCACTGTGATGTGTTTTATATTGGAGATGTGAACCACATGGTCTGGGAGCCTGGAAAAGCGATGCTAGGGAGCTTCACAAAGGAGACATTTGAGGCTAGTCCTTGAAGAATGAGTTGCAGTGAATAGTTGTTGTGGAGAGAATAGCTAATAAACGTAACCACAGGGTAAAACACAAAAAACAACAGCCGGGCCACGGTGGCTCACCCCTGTAATCCCAGCAGTTTAGGAAGCAGAGGCAGGCAGATCACTAGGTCAGGAGTTTGAGACTATCCTGGCCAACATGGTGAAACCCCCATCTCTACTAAAAATACTAAAATTAGCAGGGCCTGGTGGCGTGTGCCTGTAATCCCAGCTACTCAGGAGGCTGAGGCAGGAGAATCGCTTGAACCTGGGAGGCGGAGATTGCAGTGGGCTGAGATCGCACCACTGCACTCCAGCTTGGTAACAGAGTGAGACTCTGTCTCAAAAACAACCAACCAACCAACCAACAAACAAAAAAAACCACAAAAAAAAACACACAAGGCTTAGAAGTGATTTAATCCAATTTGTTTTGGAGGAAAAAGTTTTAATAATCCCAGCACATTGGAGGGGCCAGGGCAGGAGGATGCCTTGAGCCCAGGAGTTCAAGAACAGCCTGGCCAACATGACAAAACCCTGTCTCTACCAAAAAAATACAAAAATTAGCCTACAGGCACACATCCATAGTCCCAGCTACTTGGGAGGCTGAGGTGGGAGAATCCCTTAAGCCTGGGAGGCACAGGTTGTAGTGAGCCAAGACCATGCCACTGTACTCCCAACTCCAGCCTGGACCCCAGAGCAAGACATGGTCTCAATTAAAAACAAAAAAAAGAGTTTTCTGTGGTTAATAATTGCACAAAGGGGTGGCTTTGTGAGTCTTTATTCTACCCCCCACATAATTTCAATCAGTGTCCCCCTCACACACACATTCAATTATATAATCAATGTACAAAATTGCGTCCAGTGCAATTTGAGGACAAACTCCGACCCCCAATTTCACTACAACTCCTTCTATATATAAATTCTAGAGCTCCTGACCAACTTGGCAAAACCTCATCTCTACTAAAAAAAATATATATATATATATATATATGCAAAAATTAGCCTCGTGGGGTGGTGCACACCTGTAGTCCCAGCTACCTGGGAGGCTGAGGCATCAGAATTGTATGACTCTGGGAAGCAGGGGTTGCAGTGAGCTGAGATTGCACCACTGCACTCCAGCCTGGGCAACATAGAAAGACTCTGTCTAAGAAAAAAAAAAAAGAAAAAGAAAAAAGACCTGAGTATGGTGGCTCACGCCTGTACGCCCAACACTTTGGAAGGCTGAGGCAGGTGGATCACCTCAGGTCAAGAGTTTGAGACCAGCCTGGCCAACCTGGTGAAACCCCATCTCTACTAAAAATACAAAAATTAGCTAAGCAGGGTAAAGGGCACTTGTAATCCCAGCTATTCGGGAGGCTGAGACATGAGAATCACTTGAACCTGGAAGGCAGAGGTTGCAGTGAGCTGAGATCGTGCCATTGCACTCCAGCCTTGGCGACAGAGTGAGACTCTGTCTCAAAAAAAAAAAAGAAAAATAGCGCGGTGGCTCAAGCCTGTAATCCCAGCACTTTGGGAGGCCGAGACGGGTGGATCATGAGGTCAGAAGATCGAGACCATCCTGGCTAACGCGGTGAAACCCCGTCTCTACTAAAAAAATACAAAAAACTAACCGGGCGAGGTGGCGGGCGCCTGTAGTCCCAGCTACTTGGAGGCTGAGGCAGGAGAATGGCATGAACCCGGGAGGCGGAGCTTGCAGTGAGCTGAGATCCCGCCACTGCACTCCAGCCTGGGCGACAGAGCCAGACTCCGTCTCAAAAAAAAAAAAATAATAAAAATAAAAAAAAAAAAGAAGGAGGAGGAAGAAATTCTAGAGCAAAAATCTAGGGCAGTTCTGTCCAACATAAATTTCTGCAGCAATAGAAATGTTCCACACATACATTGTCCAAAATAGTAGCCACCAGCCATACGTGACTGTACAGCACTTGCAAAGTGGCTAGTGCCACAAGAGAAGTGAATTTTTAATTTAATTTGATTTTGATTATTTTCTTTTGTTGTTGTTATGAGACAGTCTCACTCTGTCACCCAGGCTGGAGTTCAGTGGCACAATCTTGGCTCACTACAACCTCCGCCTCCCAGGTTCAAGTGATTCTCCTGCCTCAGCCTCCTGAGTAACTAGGATTACAGGTGCCCACCACTACCTAGCATATTTTTGTATTTTTAGTAGAGATGGGGTTTCCCATGTTGGCTAGGCTGGTCTTGAACTCCTGACCTCAAATGATCCACCCACCTGGGCCTCCCAAAGTGCTGGGATTACAGGCGTGAGCCACTGAGCCTAATCCTAAATATTTTCAAGTATGAAAAAAACTGCAGGTATAAGTGACATGGATAAATCTTAGTGACATAAAGTTCAAAAGCAAGGTTCAGGATAGTGGTTACCCTTAGAGTACGAGGAGAAGCAGGGAACACAGTGGGACAACATGGGAAAATGAATATATTGGTAGATGTATTCTGTTAAAGTTTTATTCTTGGGCAAGATGGTGATTTCACATATGCTAACTATGCTAAAGAATGAATGGGTGAATGACTAAAGGCAGCCAATGGACTAATGAGGGATGTGTTCGTAACCCAAGAATTATAATTAATCTAGTTGGGGCACATGAGGTCCAGAAGAGAAAAAAATAAAACCAAACTCAACAAATTTCCAAACATTTTAATATTGTAATTTAATATTTTTTCAATTATATCCCTGAAGTCAAAGAAATTATACCCTCATGATAATTACAATTTTTGTCTAGTAATGGTAGTACCATAAGAAATTATTTAGAGTTATATTTTGTACAAATGCCACCTTTTAACCCTTTCTCAAGTTGCTAGTATTAGGATGACAGATGATTATAAAACTGAAAGAGTTTTCAAGGTAAATAAAATTTCAACAATCACATTACAGTGTATTTTTGTTATGAAGCTTGGGATATCAGCCTCCTGTTGTTCTATATAACTAAAGTAAGCCAGGCGTGGTGGCTCACACCTATAATTCCAGCACTTTGGGAAGCCAAGGTGGGCAAATCACTTGAGGCCAAAAGTTCGAGACCAGGCTGGCCAACATGTCGAAACCCCATCACTACTGAAAGTACAGAAATTAGCTGGGTGTGGTAGCACACACCTGTAATCCCAGCTACTCGGGAGGCTGAGGCAGTAGAATGGCATGAACCTGGGAGGCAGAGGTTGCAGTGAGCCAAGATCACGTCACTGCACTCCAGCCTGGACAACAACAATGAAGCTCCATCTCAAAAAAAATAAAATTTTTTTTTTAAAAACTTAAAATAATTGGCCAAGTGAGGTGGCTAATGCCCATAATCCCAGCATTTTTGAAGGCCAAGGCAAGAGGATCACTTGAGCCCAGGAGTTCAAAATCAGCCTGAGCAACATAGTGATACTTTGTCTCTACTAAGAATAAAAAAGTAGGCCGGGCGCAATGACTCACACCTGTAATCCAAGCACTTTGGGAGGCTGAGGTGGGTGGATCACCTGAGGTCAGGAGTTTGAGACCAGCCTGCCCAACATGGTGAAACCCCGTCTCTACTAAAAATATAAAAAATTAGGCCGGGTGCAGTGGCTCACGCCTATAATTCCAGCACTTTGGGAGGCCGAGGTGGGCGGATCATGAGGTCAGGAGATCGAGACTACCCTGGCCAACGTGGTGAAACCCCGTCTCCACTAAAAATACAAAAATTAGCTGGGCGTGGTGGGGCGCACCTGTCGTCCCAGCTACTTGGCAGGCTGAGGCAGGAGAATCGCTTGAACCCAGGAGGCGGAGGTTGCAGATCTGAGATCATGCCACTGCATTGCAGCCTGGGTGACAGAGTGAGACTCCTTCTCAAAAAAGAAAAAAAAGGCCAGGCGCAGTGGCTCACACCTGTAATCTCAACACTTTGGGAGGCCAAGGCTGGTGGATCACGAGGTCAGGAGTTCAAGACCAGCCT